ATTAGTGCAACACTGTAGTCCTAAATAGACCCAAGAATGCAGATGAATGGAGTGGATTTTTACCGTGGACTCCAATCGATTCCCAGATACGACAAAAACTATTAAAATTCCAAGTATGCAAATTTGAATCTCTTTGTGGGTGCACACATATATATGCGGTAATGCATCTGTGTCTATATATGCCATTTATGACCACGTAATTAGTTGAATTGGGAGATACTTTCATTTGTGCATTTTTTACTGGGTATTGTAATGAATTCTGGGCAGTTCAATACTTTTCTGTGAATCAGACTTAAATCTGATTAAGAATACATCCCACTTAAGCATTCATACCCAAACCTGCAACAATTGTCAACGACATTTACAATGCCTGCTGTCCAAATTAGTGCAGATCGTTAATCACAAAGAGCTTGCCTTTTAGGATTCCAGGATCCTTTTTGGAAAGGTTCTCACCGCTCTCGCTGCGGCTCCTTTCCTCCCCCGACCCCCCCCCCCGACCCCCTACACACACGTGCAGAATGGCCCCTGTGTCTGATACTCCAGCTTGGCAGGCACAAGCTCCCCCCTTTGGAGCTCGTGTGTAGTAGTTTCTGTTGTAAATGCCATAAGTTGGAGAGGCCCCGAGCTGCATCAGCAGTGAGTGTTAGCGAGCGCCTGGCACCAAGAGAAATTGCAAGGGCGGAAGGTAACGCCGGACTGCGGCGCTGACTGCGGTGTCTTGGAAGAAATCCGTCCTCACTGCGGAGCTATCACGAGGAGAGCAGGGCAACATGGCCAGGAGCCTGGTGGGAGAAGACAGTGCTCCCCTCCGCAGGCCAACTCCCTCGCTCTGCGTCATCGCGGACTCAGGGGCGCGCCTCTTCTCTTTCTCTTCTCCACGCCCCCCCCCCATCTGCACCCCCCGCCCCGTGTACCATTATTGCTTCTTGGAGTCACACTGGGATTTCCGTTCCCAGACTTAACTTATTGCCACTAACTACGGGCCGCGAAGAGCCGTTGGGGGGTGAAGAAATGGTTTGAAAAACAGAAAAATTAAAGTTTAACTTTCCAAGGATAGAAATGAAAATAAAAGCCCACAGTCATTTTTAAATTGCCAGATAGCAGAATCCTCGTCTGAAGTCTTTCCAGACTTTGATCTCCATTCAGGACTTAATCTATCGAGTATCCCCAGCACATTTACCAGGAAGTTCAGTGAAACGCACACCCTAAGCCGTTTGGAATGCACACGCATCTGGGACCACCGGAAGGATACCCACAGAGAGATCTGGACTCGAGGCTTAGTGCTCAGGTGCCCAAGTCGGCTGAAAATGCATCCCAACACGTCTGCACGTATGGATGCGTGCGTGTGTGTCCGTGTGCGCGCGTAAACAGCTTCCCGTAACTGGATCTGCGGCGGCGTTAGTCCTTGAGAAGAAGGGGCGACAACTAGCCGCTGGGATCGTGATTCAGGGCTATTAGGGGAAGAATTATCTGGGTCTGAGTCATCGCGAGCCTCCAGACTTTGCCCGCAGTGTGGTAGAACTTTGTGCTGATGAGACAATAGTGGAGCGTGTGCGTTTCCTACAGGGCAGACCATTCCG